CTTGTTGTGTCGACATAAGAAAGGAATGGTCCTCTTTTCTTTCTTTATAAGATGTGCGACGAAGATAAATGCAGGCAGCACTCAAGAACCATTTCTTCACTGCTTCGTAACTTGTTGCTTGCATTTCATTCAGGCTCGCTGCTATCTAATTCGGTCCTTCGGTATCACCCGTACTCCTGGTAATTTCGCTCTCGGTTATTTTCACCATGGATGCACCTGTTTTTTGTTTTAAGAACTATAAGATCAATGGTTTGTTTTCACCAGCATTTTCATTGCCTTTGCAAGCATGTTAGACTACTAAACACTTGAAGCACATAAAATCTTAGACAAACCAATCTTGGACCTGGGACCCGACCATACACATATTGATTTAGGCCTCATCTTGTAATGTGCGTAAAGGATGAGAATTCCTGTCTTCAACAACTCAAGTTTGTCCACCTCCTGAAGCTCTATGCTCTCACAAGCATCGGCAAAACAGCTAGAGGCCTGTTTTTTTTTTTAACCTGATCTCACTTCGGATGCATGTTAACATTTTTTTTGGGTCTGAAACATATGAAATTTTCACATAATCTACATCAATCAGTTCATAAATTTTTTATACTTGAATAATATTTTGAATTTTAGCAAGAAAGCAAGAAATTACTTTTGCTTTTTAAAAAGCACAAACAAACAAGTCATAAGAAACCTCAGCTAACTCTTATCATCATGATTATTTTCTTTCATTCTATTTTATTATGTCTCGTTTGTGAAACCAAACTAAGTATATACACACACATCAATCAATAATAAAAAAACTTCGGTAAAATGGAGTTAAATGGTTGACCCACATCATCACAAAGCTCCATCCCTTCCCCTTAACATCAATTAGACATATTACTATACAATAAAGTAGAGAAAAACTCAATCATCTAATTTAATCTAATATAATTTTTCTAGAACAATATATCAATATTTACTTGCCTTACATATTGAATTAGATTATATAAGTATACAATAATTATAGATAATAGAAAATATTTAAATGACAAAGATTGATTGCAAAACTCCAATGTATATACATACTTTACGATAAAGTGGGAAAGAACTTAATCATCCCATTTAATCTTTTACATACAAGAACAACAACATCGACTTGCCTTACTTATTACATATCCAAAGAATTTGTGTCACTTTCGTCCAAATTTAATTGTGGTCCTAACTCCAACCTCTGCTCTCACAATCCACTTGATATGTTAAAGATTACAACCTACCGTAACGAGTAAATTGATAGGGTATTATAGTAAGAGGATCAAAATGATTGCTTACTAGGATTATGTCATAAGGATAGGCTGCTACGTGCCAAGGGGGTCTCAAGCCAATTATATACAGCCAAGTGTAAAGAGGACACAGGCCAACACCAAGCCCAATAAAACGGTGTAGGGAATAGGCCATGACATCTCTAATGAGTCCTGCTCTGAGCTCACTAAGTTTACGCTCTCCAAAACAGATCAAACAAATAAGAATTACCTAAGATCGTGCCACCTTTCTCAAAGTCATTCTTGCATGGAGCAATGCTCATGAGAAATAACGTATAACAAGTCCCTGATAATGGCATTTGTTAGTAAATTTGGGTAATTGTATAAAGGAATAACATATTATTAAATATGAAACAAACCCTAAATATAGGATTTCATGTTGCATAAATGTGCAAGTTTTGGTATTGCCTAGCGTGGGAAGAGATCTTTAAAGCAATTTATTCAGAGAATAGGAAAAAATAAAGAAAGAATGAAAAAATATAGAAGCATTTATTCATAGGAAAAAAAATAAATTTTAGAGATTCGCAAGGAGAGAGAACTTCCCTAATCAAACTATAATGTTTTAGTAAAATAATAGTAATAATGTCATGTGACAATAGGAAGAAGAGTTTTGAACCGAGAGGTATAGTGTTCATATTAGAATGTTAACAGATCGATCATGTTACCCACGGATACAAAACTTTCTATTTTTTCGGAAAGAATCTCTATCCTAATGTATATTGCGTATGTATGTACATATACACTAATTAATAACAGCTCACACCTCACAGTGCCCCGATTAAAGCTAACTAATATTTCCTAGGTTCATAATGTAAGTTCTGATATACAACAAATCCATCCCAAGAATTTAGAGAATGATTGGCCATCCTTTGAAAAAAAATAAAGAACGAAGCCTTAAACTAATTAAACAAATATATTGACTAAGCAAAACCTTTCATTGAATGATAATTAAAACAAAATCCAGTAATCATGAATTGACCAAATTCTAGAATTTATTTAACCCTCTCGGAATCACTCTTAACGTGATTAATGCAATTTTTGAAAATTTGGGAAAGTCCCTATCCAATCAAAGCTGAGTTGTGGAATGGTTTTTGAAACTGTTTTGAGATAATCCTAAAAAATAGATGAAAAAGGCCAGCTTCTTTTGAAAAAGATTGAAATATGGGGAAAGTCAATTTCATCAAGAAATTATGCACCAATAACTACACTAGATTTAATTCTTAATAACAGCTTACAATTAGGCTTGATTTAGACAAACCAATTGCGGACCTTGGACCTTACCTCGGTGGGTCCCATATGCATTATTGATTTAGGCTTGCGTGGATGATGAGAATTCCTACCTTCAACAACTCGAGTCAGTCAAAGAAGTTGCGGGGGGTTACAATGAATGAGGTAGGTGCCCATATTAAGTTTTATATAAAAAATGAGGTGGTGGGCCAATAATGAGCGATAATTGACTGATTAACATTTGATTTTTAATATCTAGAGTTCCAAAAGCACCTGCTCTCTATCTCTAAAATGCAAAGGAGGAGGAAGGAGACAGACGTCGCACGGAACCAAGAAAAAATAAAAGAAAGAGAAAAATATACATATATATGTACTAATTAGACAAATGACAAATGAGTTATCTTTTGAGTGCACAATAATAGTAGATAATAAAAAATATTTAAATGAAAAATGTATACATATGTATATTATGAAAGATTCCATCTGATTTAATAAATAAGAAATTAGACCATCTTTATCATACCGCAAATCCATCTCAAGAAATTAGACCATGACCTTCATCATTTAAAAAATAATAATATAGAACGAAGCCTTGGGGAAAAAACGAAGTGTATGTCCTTGGATACGCAATTTGCTTTCCCAACTTGGTCCTCCTATTCTCCTTTGCTTCTGGGCCTTGGAATCTGTCAGATGAAAACAAGCGGCTAAATAAATATCTCTGTCACTTTCAACACCAGCATCTTCATTGCCCTTGCGAGCATGCTGGATTACTGTACAGTAGAAGCAGGAAAAGTCTTTAGACAAAACCAATCGAGGACCTTGGACCCAACCTCGGTGGGTCCCATATGCATTATTGACTAGGGCTTCATCTTCTCGTATGCGTGGCTGAGGAGAATTCCCATCTTCAACATAAACTTTCGATACATGTCCTGAGAGGTCTCCAGCCTCGAAATCATTGGACTGATTATCTTCTAATCCAAAGGGAGAGGGAGACAGGGAGAACAAAAATGGCGGAAGCTATCATCGGGACCATTGCTAAAGAGATCATTGCTAAGCTAATATATATATAATGGAGCTTAATGAGCGACAATTGGCCAATTAATATTTGATTTTTTATATCCGGAGTTTCGAAAGCGGCTGGTCTCTCTGTTTCTAGAATACAAAGGAGTAGGAAGGAGACAGAAGTAGCGTAGAACCAAAAAAATAAAAAAGCAGAAAGTGATGTTAATAGGTGACCCGTGGAGTTAAGTTGCTTTTTGGCCGTGTCAGTTACGTAGCAGTACGACTTCATACACGTCGATCCCACCGTACTCGTCCTATCTGTCTTTGTACACATTGTCCGCTCCAGATTCGCCACGTACCAACATTATCTCCAGCCCGAATTGTGTGATCTAAGGCCTCGGCCCCACCTGAAAGACGCTTTTGCGAAGGACTTTGTATAATAATCGTATTGTTGCAACTTTTTTGGTTTTCTTATTATTTATTTGAATAGTTGATATATGCATACCGTTTTTTTCTTTTACTTAGATGCTTTATATGATAATAACATATGAAAAGTAAGGGCATGTGTTCAGTAGAAGCATACAACTTTTTACTTTTCCATCATAACAAAAATTATAAAAAAAATTATATAAGAAAGTACGTATAAATATTTATATATTATGAAAATTGTGCGAATAAGAAGCGCTCAATACCTATAGACAAAAAGTCATGCTTTAAATAACAGTGCAAAGATATAAATTTCATGGCGTGTCTCGACAAAGGAAACTTACCCACCCGCCAAGAATATCTTTCAATAGGCGAGGTTGGTTTTTGGCTACAATTTCAGTAATCAATTAGTTTTGTGGGAATTGGCGAATCACCTTAAGCATCTGCTGGCTGACCGGTTGCTCAAGATTTTTTGTTGAACTTTCGTGTAACTTTCTTGTTTCTTTAAAGCAAAACGACGACACAAGAGTCAAAATGGCCTGAAAAGAAGAAATGCATTAGAGAGACATCACACGTGGATGAACAACAACACCACCATACTTAAAGTGATTGTCGTGAAACACATTATCGGTAAGGGAAAAGGAGAATTGCATCTTTCTGGAAGAGTTGAAAAGAAGAGTAACTTCTCCTACGACATCCTCTATGAAAAATAATGACCACAAGTCTTTCACTTTTGACTTTTAATATATAGTATGTAAATCTCCATTCTAAGCTTATCTAATATAAATAATATTAGGTCTGATAACTGACCCGATAGTAAATGATTTCAATTGACTAAAAGTATTGCATGATTGGCTTTTCATTTCATATAAGGGGCTATCTAATTTATTTAGATGAAATGAACTCTATACTTTATGATGATAGTCCTTCCCTTCCGCTAATCGTGGGATTAGCCTTGTAATGTTTGTTAGAACTCAAATGTAACATTTTTTTTAAGGGTGAGCAACCGGGTCGGTTAAATTCTAAACAGAACTAAACTCGCCCGATTCTACACTAGTTCACACAAGTTGCGGTCGGCTCTCATGTAAAAATTATGGGAACGAGGCTTTTTATGTTTTTGGGTTTGTTGGGAACCAGCTTTTGGGGACAACTGGTTTGGAACAGTTCAAAACAAAGCTAAATCTTTTATATTTAAGACCCTTACTACTTTCTTTTAATTCTCACTCTCATAGCTAGCCTTGCTCATAAACTCTCTAGTCTCTTGACTTTCCCCCAACAGTGCCCTTGATCTCTCTCTCTCTCTCTCTCTCTCTCTCTCTCTGGAGTCTTGCCCCCGCCGTTTCATCTCATCTCATCTCTCTCTCTTGGTCTTGCCGACCCCGTCTCCTGTCCTTCCTCTCTTGATCTCGCCGGTTGTGGCCTCGCCTTTGTTGGTCGGCCGTCGATCAGCCCACTAATAGCCAGGTTCGTTCTTTATTATAGCAACTAATCTGTAAGCTCTTCTGAAGATGAATAGCCTGAGCACAGTACTATGCGTTTTCCTTTTTCTTTGGCAAAATTCCAAGAAAGCAAGGAAAAATAGGAAATTTGAAGCAATAGGAATGACAGAATGACAATTACCACCAAAGAATTTCTCTGCTCACTGCAAAAATAATTTTGTTTTGGTCATGAACTATGAACTGCTAAGCCAGTAAAACTCATCGTGCAATTGGGCCTTCACAAAATGAAAAATGAAACATAAAAAAGTAGACTGGTTTGAGGTCTGTTCGATTAAGCTCTAATACCAACTTTGTCATACATCAAATCCAACCCAAAAATTTAGAGAATGACTGGCCATCCTCTGGAAAAGATAAAGAACGAAGCCTTAAACTAAGAATAGTAATTTTAAACCAATATATTAACTAGGCAAAACCTTTCATTGAATGATAATTATGACAAAATCCAGTAAATCGTGAATTAACCAAAATCTAGAAATTCTTTAACCCTCTCCGAATTGCTCTTAACGAGATTAATGCATTTTTTAAAATTTGGGAGAGTCCCTATGCAATCAAAGTTGAGTTGTGGAATGGTTTTCGAAACTGTTTTGAGATAATCCTGAAAAAAAATAGATGAAAAAGGCCAGCTTCTTTTGAAAAAGATTGATATATGGGGAAAGTCAATTTCATCAGAAAATTATGCACCAATAACTACACTAGATTTAATTCTTAGTAACAGCTTATAATTAGGCTTGATTTAGACAAAACAATCGTGGACCTTGGACCCGACCTTGGTGGGTCCCATATGCATTATTGATTTTTTTTTTGGGTCTGTATATGCGTTATTGATTTAGGCTTGGGTGGATGATGATAATTCCTATCTTCAACAACTTGAGTCGGTCAAAGAAGTTGAAAATTAGAATTGTCAGGATTCTGATTTGCCAGTCTCACGTGAGTGTCAACATAAACTTCTTATACATGTTCTGAGAAGCCTATAGCCTTGGAGGACTGTACTAATATCTTTTGATCCATAGAGAAGAGACAAAGAAAGAGAGATACCCGAGAACAAAAATGGCGGAAGCTGTCATTGGTAGCATTGCCGCAAAGATCGTTGCTGTACTGGGTCCTCAAGCAATAGAAACAGTTGGAAAGTTATGGGGCATCAAGGATGAACTCGAGGTGCTTCGGGACACTGTCTCCATGCTTCAGCCCGTACTGGACCATGCAGAAGAACAATACCACAAGATTTCCCAAATCCAAGTTTGGGTTGAGAAACTAAAAGACGCTTTCTATGACGCGCAGGACCTGCTTGAAGAATTCAATATAGAAGCTATGCGAAGAGAACTGAGGGGTCACAATGAAAAGATGAAGGAGGTAAGGACATTTTTCTCAAGTTCAAACCAGCTTGCTTTTAAATTGAAGATGAGCGGCAAAGTAAGAGCGGCAAGAGAGAGAATACAAGCCATTAAGACTGAAAAGGAATTCCACTTGGATCAGCGCCTAGTGGATTCGGAAGCGGAGAGAGAGCGGAGGAAGAGAAAAGAGACGCATTCATTTATACCTAAGGGAGATGTTATAGGGAGAGATGATGATAAGAAGGCGGTTATGAAATTTTTACAAGATTCAAATGTGAAAGAGCACGTTTCCATCCTTCCAATAGTTGGTATTGGTGGGCTTGGAAAAACGGCTCTTGCTAAATATGTGTATGAAGATAGTCAATTTGACTTGAAAATGTGGGTTTGTGTCTCTACCGACTTTAATGAGACAAAAATAGTGAAAGACATGATAGCTTGTGCAAAGAAGGAAGAATCAACCGAGGTTGCGATGGAATTGTTGCAAAGCAAACTTAGGGCAGAAATTGATGGAAAGAAATATCTCTTAGTTTTAGATGATGTGTGGCATATAGAACAAGAAACATGGTTGAGCTTGAAAACTTTATTGGGGGGAGGTGCTAGAGGAAGCAAGATCCTTATAACGACACGCATTCCTTTGGTTGCGGAGATCACCGGCACTACTCCGCCTCATTTTCTCGGGGGCTTATCTGAAAGTGCGTCTCTTGAATTATTAATGCAAATGGCTGGTCGAAAAATAGAGGAGATACAAAATTCTGACATGCTAGCCGTTGGCAAAGAGATAATTAAAAAGTGCTCCGGGGTTCCATTAGTTGTTCGAATTGTTGGGAGTTTACTATTCCTTAAAAAAAGTGTACTTGAATGGTCACAATTCAAAGATAATGAGCTCCCAAGTGTGTTTCAAAGGGAAGATAGCATAAAATCAGTTCTTCAGCTTAGTTATGACCATCTTCCTTCACATTTGAAACAATGTTTCGCATTCTGTTCATTGTTTCCCAAAGATTATGAGTTAAAGAAGCAGACTTTAGTCAATCTTTGGCTGGCAGAAGGATTTATTCGGGAATCAAATACAAGTCAGCATTTAGAAGACATTGCTCATGGATATTTCATGGATCTACTATGGAGTAACTTCTTTCAAGATTATCGGGAAGAGAAGGGGACTTGCAAGATGCATGATTTGATGCATGATCTAGCCTGCTTAGTTGCAGGGACCGAGTGTTGGGCGGCATGGGATGACAAAAAATCCATATCCAAAAGAACTCATCACATATCATATGGTTCAACTTTCAATTTGAAGGGTGAACTTCAAATCACACGCGTGCAAGCAAGTGCACTGAGAACATTTATGCGTGTTGCTAGTGATAGGAAAATGGAACCAACGAGTGAAGTAGATCTACAACTCATTCAAAGTTTCAAGAGGTTGCGTGTCTTGAATCTGCATACCACATATGTCGGGACAGTGTTAAAGTCCATTTGTAAGTTGAAGTATCTTACGTATCTCGATCTCTCTCACAATGAAGCACTCAAAAGGCTTCCTAACTCCATTACAAAATTGCAGAATTTGCAAACACTAAATCTCTGCGGTTGTAGTGCCCTTGAAGAATTGCCAAGGGGTATAAGGAAGTTAGTCAGCCTTCGAAATCTAGACATAGATGGTTGTTGGGAACTTAGTTATGTGCCACGCGGACTAGGGCAATTGAGTTCTCTGCATAGGCTAACACGCTTCATTTTGCCCAAAGATAAAGCTCTTGCTAAGGATTGTTGTGAACTTGGGGAGCTAAATGGGCTTAATGACATTCGGGGAAGCCTTAGAATTGAGAATTTGGGAAGTGTGACAGATGCCGAAGCAGAATCCAAGGCTGCGAACTTGACAGGGAAGCATTTTCTGGAATCTTTGGCACTTGAATGGGGTTATTTCAATACCGATGATGTCGCAAATAGAGATGAAGCTCTATTAGGTGGACTGAAGCCGCACTCAAGTCTGCAGAAGTTGACGATCAATAGATATAACGGTGAGAGCTTTTCAAGGTGGAGCCTCGTGTCTTCCTTGCCCAATTTAGTTAAGTTACGCTTCTATGATTGCAGAAGATGTAAACATCTCCCTCCATTAGGCCAACTACATCACCTCAAGACTTTAGAGATTCGGAATATGACTAAATTGGAATACATCATGTCAGACCATTCATCCACTTCAACAGAATCATTTCCTAATCTATCTGTATTGGAGATCTCTAGCTGTATGAAATTGAAAGCCATGCCACCAACTCCGCATCTTGAGGAGTTAACGCTGACTAGGGCCCACCCAGCGTTAATAAATATGATATATGGCCTTAATAAGTTGAAGCATCTGCAAATCTGGTATATGGAGTCTCTAGAATGTGTGTCCGAAGAGTGCTGGAAAAGTCTCACCTCACTCGAATCTCTTCGCATTTGGGTTTGTCCTAGGTTAACTTCCCTCTCAAAAGCACCACCACCATCACTGGGTACGCGACGTCAATCCAACCTGGTGGATCTCGATTCTTCGGATTCCCATGGAGGACTCCAGAATCTCCGCTCCGTGAGTCTCTGGATACTTCCAAAACTAGCATATCTCCCACAGTGGCTTCTCCAGCTCAGCAATCTCGAGCGTCTCTATATTCGGGATTGTGAGGAGCTGGATTTATTATGCAAAGACGAAAGCGGCAACAACAACAACCTCATCTTGGATTTCCATGGAGGACTTCAGAGTCTCCGCTTCGTGGAAATCATTGGACTTCCAAAACTAGCATCTCTCCCACAGTGGCTTCTACAGGCCAGCAATCTCGAGGATCTCATAATTGAGGGTTGCTCCAATTTGAAGGCATTACCAGAGCAGATCGAGGCCCTTCAATCACTTCAACGGCTTGTCATCCTCGATTGCCCCTCGTTGACGTCATTACCCGAAGGAATGCGAAGGCTTGCGTCCCTTACTCACCTGAGAATTAGAGATTGCCCAGAATTGGAGAGGAGGTGCAAGAGAGATGGAGGCGAGGACTGGGACAAGATCGCTCATATCCCCGACATACAACTTCTACGGGTGGTAGATGAAGCCCTAATTTTTCTTTAAAGGTACGTGGGACCTTTTCTTCCCCAGATTTTTACATGAATAATGATTTTTCAAATTCTGTTTCGATACTTGATTCGATTTTGGGGGCATATGGACAGATCGGTGAAAGTTTTGGGGCCTGGGCATATCCCCTTGGATGCTTGATTCGATTGGCGATTAGGGTGTGTGGAAACATCGCTTTATTCCTAGAAGCGCGAGAGAAAAAACACATAGAAAAATTTTGATACCCTTTCTCATCCAACTCCGAGCTCATTGAATCTGGCTCGTGACTCATGCTGCAGATATGGTGTGCAATTTGCTCATTTGATTTCCACAAGGAGCGAAGTTGCCTACACGGTCCGATGATTCTGGGAGGACTCTCGTACATGAAGCGATGTTATTGTTAGCATTTGAGAGCAATGTTGTGTAAACTAAAAGCTACAAACTGTTTTGCATTATAGTAGAGTTTCTGAGGTCTCTCTGTGAAGAGTTTGAAGAGAAATGCAATGGTGGGGAGAGAGAGACAGAGAGAGAGAAGGGAAATGCACATTCTTGTCTTGCTGTTCAACCATTCTGTAGAGATTCTCAGGTAAATCCTCTGCCAATTTTGAGCACCATCTTAAACAATTGAGTAAATGTTTGAAATTAGAAGAGGCCTTATGACAATTGGACTGGAAGTCTAATCTATTACTTCTCCATTTTGATCACTGCAAGGTTGTCCTATTCGTTTTGTTTGGTTGACAATTGACGTGTTTTTGATCTCTTGTTCAAAACAATGTTTGCAAAAGAAATGTGTGCTGTGCAAGGTAGAATGAATGAACAGAGCAGTAGTCATTGTTGTCGTTTCTTTTGATGACTAAATCAATCACTACCAATGTTAAGTCTCTGTTGTGGACCTCGTGTGGAATTGATTTCTCTTGTATTCACTCCTGTTTTGCTGTGTTCAGTAGTCTTACTCTGCCACAAAGATATCTGATGGATATTTTCGCCAAAGCCGTTGGCAAGGGTAATTTGCAATTATGCAAAGTTTGTGAAAGAAGAAAGTACTTCAATGTGATTGCCTTTTCATTGTGAGAGGAAAGAATTAGGTGCACAGTCAAGATTCACGAGTTGATCATCCATTAGATCTAATGAAATATCATAATAACATGTTTGCTGATTGATCCTTGGTAAGGTGGAATTCCATTAATCTCTTAAACTGTTGCACTCTGCGGTATGCTTCCTTCAACTATGTAACTGCCCTCAGTTTTTTATTTGTTCTCAAGCTCTCTTTCGGGAATGAGGCCTGAGAATAACCTTGAAATGGTTCTAAAAGGATAAGTGTAGTTTTTCCACTATTTTTTTAGTTTATTTTCAAAGGAGAATGTGGTAGCGTCCTTAGGGCAATTGATAAAACTCGCTAGTTATGCTGCAAAATGTAAGTTTTTCCTATTTGAAACTGGTCTTCAAAGAGTGGTTTTCTACTTTTTGGCGCTAGCACTTGCTAAAGAGACCCTTTCTTCGAAGTACCCAGTCCATTTTTTTGTCTTTTCAAAACTAATTTCTCATGCATACCAGAAGGCCAAGTCATACAAACAGAGCTTATCGTTTAACTATCTTCCATGAGATTAAGCTTCCAGGATTTTTGGTTCAGTAGATATGTCTATTACTCACAGTGCTTTAATTTTTAGACTAGGCAGAAATGGCGCAGATTTTGGCACCAATGACACAATGCCAGTTGAGAATCACGAAGGAATCACAGAGCGACAGTCCCATGACAGCAAACACATGGATTTCTCTCTTGCTAAAACAGAAGAAGAGTGGAAGCACCAAGAGCTTTTCTAAGTTTAGGGTGTATGCTTTGAAGTCTGAGAACACTACTGTCACAGGCTTAAGAGTCTTCTCAACTTGAACGTCACGCCCTACACCGATCCGATAGTTGCAAATCACATTTGGTATGTTCTAATGCCTAAAACCTTTACGTGCGGTGCACAAAAAGATGAATAATACTTGAACTATTCTGTACTGAGATTAGAAGTTAGAATTTTTCTTCAATCTACCATCAGAATAAATATGTCATGTTTTATGCACGTTCAATAAGTGACACCTTTTTTTTGTATTTCAATTTCTACACTAGCAAATCTTGTTTAACGTTTTGATGTAAGTCAACTATGAGATAGGATCGGAGGTTCTGGCATTGATATGGGCGGCAAATCAAGGGTATGAATGGCGACAATAAGATATATCGCCATCTCGCCTGTTTTTACGAAAAAAAAAACAAAGCACAAAATTGTTGCCATGAGCTCTGGCTTCTATCGTGCAATGGGAGTACCAAGAGGGACCAAGCGTGGGAATTGAAGCGGGAGATTATATATGGTGTTTGAGATACTTTCTCAAGGTGAAATTACAATTACTTGCTCAAGAAAATAACCGAATGCCATTAACGACAAACAGAATTAAGTGCATACAGACATGTCCTACAGTTTCAAATACTTAATTGTTTATGTTGCTTATATGGCATAGAATAACTGAGCAAGCTGGTGTTGTCCTCGTGTTAGATCCGTAGCCAATGGAGGTCGCTGACTTCTTTATCACCATTTACGCAACATATCCATAAGTTAAAAATATTCTCTTCCTTCTCAGGGTGAATGGAATGATGCAGGATGCCACACTAACTACAGGTTACACCATAAAAATAACATGGACTTGATTAAGTATTTCTTTTCATTAAAGGACTTTAATAGTGTTTTTTCTCCGTGATTTCTGCAGTACCAAAAGCATGAGTGAGAGGGAGGCTTTGAAATGATAAAGAAGGAAATTCTGAATCTCTCACTTCGCCACGAGCAGCACATTAGCGCCTACGGAGAAAGAAATGAGAGAAGGTTGACAGGAAAGCATGAAACAGCCAACGTCGACATATTTTCTAGGGTAATGCTCAGAAGAAGCACACCAGCTGCGAGTCAAATTTCAAAGATTGCCCGTTAAATTGAACTCAAATATTGTTATGATGCCTGGATTATTTGAATTCTGTTATGCAGGGACTTGCCAACCGTGGTTGCTCAATCTTTGTGGGTGGAGACCTTGAGAAGCAAGGAAAAGGTACCGTAACAATGACCCCACCAGTCCCTTTTTGTGCTCTGTCTGAGTATCAATTAAAGACCCTTAACTTTAATTAAAGACCCTTTTTGTGCTCTGTCTGAGTATCAATTAGCAGAGAAGATTTGCTTACAATCAGACAACGAAGCTTCAGTAAGTCTCACTTATAATCCGAAAGAAAGCCCATGGGCCTTGAGAAGCCTTTTTGTTGATTGTAATGTACTGCTCTCCCAATTAAAGGAGGTTTCCCTGGTCCACTGTCCACGAAACAGCAATCAAGCAGCAGACTGGATAGCCAAAAATCATCAGAAAGGATTTCTACCATCCAACTGGATGTCTAGACCACCCCTACCTCTATGGGATTTATTTTGTATTGACTCTAGTCATATTCTCTCTTGTGATATGTTTCCTAGTGTTTGAATGGAAAGTAAAACTTCGACCAAAAAAAAAAAAAAAGACCCTTAACTTTCATGGATGATTCAAGAAAAGCTACCATAAAAAAATAGTACATAGAAAGTACTTATTGTTCTTTTTGGTCTCAGTTGATTCTATGATTGTTACTGTGAAAGAAGCCGTTAACCCTCATAAAGCATTCCCCAGTTTTGCTTCCTAAACAAATGTAAATCTTCACATCAGTCCTTACTAATGCGATATTTACAGAACTTTATTGAAGTTAAGACTTGGACATCTCAGTTCTTATAGTGTCTCAAAAAACTTTATGGAATGCTTAAATATTTCTGAATATAGATAAAACATAGAAAGTTCACCTTCCTTGCTCAGTCAATTAATGACTTAAAATGATATGCAGGTTACTTGGAAGACTCCCTGCCTCAAACATGGACCCATGACCTCGTTACTTGCTGAAACAACAATTTTATGGGAGCCCACCCATGAGGCTGAAGCTCTGCTCAAAAGCTAGCATTGACGGTCTGCTGTTTAAAAAAGGCCAAATGCATTAATCAAATCGGTGAGGATCTACAAGCTGAGAGATTGTGATCCCCTTTTCCTCTGGATTTAGGACATTGAGAGAAGATCCTCATGTAAATACTTCCTAGAGAAAGAAAATTAGGTGTCCAAGCTCACACCTAGTCTCTTTTACATTGGTTTCATCCTACATTCGCAAGTAGTCTCAATGTTTCGGGATTTGAGTTCACCATTACCCTTTAGCATCATGGACATCTTACCGTGTTCAAATGGTCATATACTTAGATATTTTAGCGCAACTCATCCAAATTTTAATCATATGCTAAACTCATCCAATTTGTCATATTCAACTTTCTTTTGAATGAGAGGCATATTGACTTCTGATTCAGTAAACATGAGATGCACTAGTTTGCTTCATCTCTTCCAATGTCTCATCAAGAGATCTTTGGGAAGTATAAACAGACCGTAATTTTTGGGGTCGCGCAAGTTTGTCTGTCCAACTCAGCAAATCTTTTTTCTTTGCGAGGCAAAGAAATGTTCTCATTCACATGGAAAGTGCAATATATACATAAAAACAGCAATTTGGCAATACCTAACATTTTGCTTCTACAGAACTAAAAGTTAACTCTTCTCCTCAAACCAATTCGATTGTCTTATTCAACAATAGAGCAAATAATTAACAATGATATTGATGCTAACTTATCTATCTTGCCGTGTCTAGTAGATAGAAAGTTTGTGAAGTAGGATAGCTGTTTCTATGGAAATATAGATGAGAAGACACGCGGATTGGACTTCTCAGGCGATTCCCAAGTCCGGTTAAGGGAAGAAATTGCAAAGTTTTCTGTAGTTCATATATTTATGAAACTGCTGGTAAATTTCTAATAAGGTTGATAAAAAAAAAATACTCTAACATCGACTTGAAAGAAAAATTCACGAAAATAATAAGAATTCTGTTCTCTTTGCATGATTTCAGCAAGTTTCAGTTGAAGTGTATCAACCCTAGTTAAGAGTATACAACTGAAAAGAAAATGTAACTTGAATTTCACTAGGGGAGATCATGATTTATTCTTGATCTATAATTTTACTAAGCACTAGGCATGTTCAAATCTCAAATAATATTCAAGCTCAGGTTTCAAGTCGAGGCATCAGGAACCAATGTTAACATATCGTACCATACCAGAGTGTTCCTAAAAATTTTCTAGGTTGTCATATATGATATGAACATGGACTCTATGAAGCACTCGATCAGGCAAATCTCAATTCATGCATTTCTGAATCTTGTCTCATTACAGGTGTTGTACATCAGCTTCAGCCTTATTAGTCTAAGCTATATGTCAATGGCAGTCTTGAGCTACTTATCTACCCACAAGCAAGTTCAACTCTAAGCTAGCTATATACGCCACTTGGTCCCACGGCCAAATATTCTCTTATGGTTTCTCCTGGTGAGAGTAGCCTAACTTGCTATAACAAGAAGAAGCTCATTGTTGCTGCCATAAGGACAAATGTATCTGCCAGCACAATAGTGATTGCCCTAGTTTTCTCATATATTGAAGTGCTAATGGACAGATATCCATTAAAGAGCTCCTCGTGCATCTTAAAAAACAAATTATGCTGCTTCGTGAGCTAGTATCACATATACAATTGAGAGTTTCTGATGTAATTCTGTGAGATATTTCATTTTGCATTGTCTTCATCAGTATTGCTCTTCGTAACTAAATTGTAGTAGGAGAGTTATTCAGCACACTCCAATATAGTGGAACATTTCAACATCGTTGAATAACGGAAGTTTGTCGGCTATGATATGTCCTATTAAAGCCGCATAGGGAAAGCAAATGTATGGTCAAGAAATAAGATGAAATAGGAAACATGATACAAGAGATCAGCCACATCATGGAATGTCATATGGCATTTCCAAATATTGCTGGAAAAATCATTGCCACATAGAAAATCAAATCCACTGAGTAACTTTCTGCAACTACAACTGAGGTGGTGAAGTGTAATTGATTGTTGAATCAGGCGTTTCTATTAGACGAACTTCACTTTTCCTTTTATGTTCATGTAAGATTATTCAGGGTGAGGAAAAATTGAAAAGCAAATCACCACAACTCATGTATATCATTAACTTCACTATGAGTAGCTCATTAAAAGGTTAGACAAGCAGGTGTCTCGTGCTAACTTCTGCACCAAAACTAAGAGTCATCCATGTCTCCCATTCCTTTTGCCAAAGTTACACCAAAGAGAGCGAGATTGTATATCTTGGAGGAAATTACACCAGAGCACAGGTCTAAAAGTTCTTCAAATATCACGTCAGCTTCTCAAAGACAGACAGTCAGGGGGCTTGTTGTGGCTTCCTCCCGCTGGACGTTTGTTGAAATTTGCCTTTTGAAACTTCAGGTACAATTTTATTGGAAGAATATTTTGAGCACAGTTCCTCGTTCGCTCTCCTCAATCTATCCCCTCCCTTACCCCTAGCCTCTGAGGTGAGATAAACAAAAGAAACCAACAAAAAGAACGAGCAGAATGCATATTTTCATATCCACATAATTTCACTTCTGATTGAGAAAGCTTTATACTGTATAAAACAAGTTGATGCCCTCTAGTTACAAAAGTCAGGCCTGCTGGAAAAGAAACCATAGACGCACTCCAAACTACAAATTTTCCCTAAACTTACCTCTGCCAGCATAGTTTTTTTTTTTTTTTTGGTAAGAACTGCCAGCATAGTTTCCTCCCACCCTCATGCATAATTTCATATACAAGTTTGTATTTCTCAAAAGACGTGGCACCAAACTCTACATATTTGGCAGCAATTTCACGAAGACTCCAGACCATCTTGCCTTAATTTCGTGGGAGCTACCTCCTGACTCAGAATCACGTACAGTGCCATACTCAGCACTCCTTGTCCACCTATGCAAGAGGTAGCGAGATGGAAGCTCCCTAATATCTAGAATCTGGAACAATCTCAAAGCATGTCTACACAATACACCCTCTGATTCAAACATTTGACAACCACAACTCACATCGAGATTGGATGAACAAAAGGTAACGATATGTTTCTCATTCTCATTGCTGCACTTACGGATCAAATATCTACTGATGGCCCCTTGTTCATGAATCTTGGCACCCAGATAACTGTAGCTTTGTAAAAGTTCCCTCTGGAAAACTTTGAAAACGGAAAGGGTATAAAGCCTCCTACATTGCTCTTCCATCGGTTCATTTGTCTGCAAAAATGCCTGCAAGTTGAATGAGTTATAATCTTCTTTCCTTTCATTGCCACGACTTTGCTCCAAACCTTGCTCATATCTCACAACAAATTCTTCAAGTGGCATTTGAGAAATTAAATATGGGTCAAAAAAGGCATCTAGACTTCCATCGATGGGAATTCCAGCAAAAAATGTTCGACGTAAGCACAGTGGAACCCGGTTTTCACGCTTTTCATACATTTTCTTCAGCCAAGAATTTTCCCTCAAGCTATATTTGCTGAGAAGAGCATCCCGTGCAGCATCAAATTCACCAACTGTATGACTTTGATAAACGCACTTCTCATATTCATATTTACAATCACTACTCAGTGGACTCAAATGTTCTCGTTCTTTTGTCTTAATTTGCCACATGGAGAATCGATGATGACTCAAAGGAAAAACCTGTGCAATCACTTGCAGAATGGAATCATCATGATCAGCTATTATCGACTTGGGATGGCACTCAGACATTGCCCTGAGCCATGTCTCAAACAACCATATGAACGACTCCTTCGATTCATCATGCAACTAGAGCACATCCAAGAAGAACCAGCTGCTTGTGGTAATTAACACCAACAAAAGTAGCAAATGGCACCACATAATTGTTTTGCTTATAGGAGGTATCAAAATGATGGCATCACTGGTGGGCGCTTTCCTTCCCTCAGAGAGGTTCTGGGTTCGAATCCCGCTCGGTTCCGTAATTTAAGTGGGGCGCAGCGATGGAGTTCTTTAAGGCTAGTCTCCCGAGATATAGGCGCCCGACATTAATGTCATGATGCGGGCTCATCCCCGGGGAATGGTGGCGAATCCTCGGTTACCAAAAAAAAAAAAAAATGATGGCATCACCAAACTGGCTGCAGGAAAACCTAGACCTGCCAACAACCCGGAAAAGACTCCTACAACAACCCAACTGTACATCAACAGCATAAAAGAATCCAATGTCCTCAGCTTGTCGGTTCTGAAAGTAATTATGAAGCACGGTATACCAATCACTTCCTATGTTGTTCGCACGATGTTTCTTTATGAGCTCCCATTGTGCTTTTTAGCAATGTCTAGTTTTTCCGTGTTTCATTAATCTCATCTAAAAATTTCAAGAAGCTGAACCTCTCTTGGCTTTCATTTGCATCCCAAGCTCATGGTTATGCTCTAGTTGATAACGATCAACAATCCATCTTCCATTATCATGCCTTATGCTCTAGTTGATAACGATCAACAATCCATCTTCCATTATCATGCCTCTTAATCCTCATAAATGCACCACACCCAACCCTAGAAGGATGTTGAAATCCTTCCTTCGAGCAGACATATCTCCGAGAAGTAATCGAACCATCGTTCTTTGATCGAAACAACTGACTGATACGAACTCTAAATACCACATTCCCGGCATATGTATCATAATACTGGTATGCTTCGTTAGCTGAATCAAACTTTAGACCCGCATAGGGCTCAAGTTTCACTTGTCCTTCATTCACCCCCGGTTTGATGCGTTTGGCACTGACAATACTTGAAGAAGATGAGCATCCATTATCAACAACATCAAAGCTGTTTTATCCATGGCTTACGGCACAAATCAACTACTTTAGCAGTAGTTGCTGAACTTTTGCACCGGGAATTAGCAGGATGATTCTCCTCACAAGCGTCAAGATCATGATTATGATCTTTCGCAAATTGGTCAAGGACCCACTTTGCCAGAATCAGATTTTTTCACCCTTATGGATGCAGGGCATCCTGTCCTTGAATTAATCTGAAACCCTTCTTTCCAGCACACAAATCTCCTATTACAAACCGACCCATCAACTCACGATCGATACAATTGACCAGATCGTATTCTAAAACCCACTCGTGATGCGTAATTGCTTAGAATATACGAGCATCATCTGCGGTATCAAACTCCAACCCCACATATGGCTCCTGTTCAAACTCTTCTTCCCCCACCCCCATTGAAATCCCTCTCACATATAGCACCAACCATTCCTCAGTCTTTAAAACTGTTCCTGAAATAAGAAAATAAAGTAAGCGAGATAACATTGAAACCTCAATAAATCAGCTCATTGTAACTATAGCTAAATATCAGGAGAATCAAGGACTCAAGACATAAGCAACATCACTTAAAATATGGCTAGCATTGTGAATATAGAAACAGTCATACTAGATTTACTTAAACTTGTCTACAGAAATTGTATACAAAGTGATACGGCCAACTACAAGTGGTGTTTTAAATAAATGGATCATAGTCAACGCTCAATAGGAGTATGTCGTAGTATACCAATTTTTGTAAGTAGACCTAGCATTATTCTTATATAGCCAAAAACTCAATTTAGACATTCTAATCTATCATTGACCATCTCCTGATTTAGTTCAGTCACCAGGCCCAAATGAAAGCAGTGAATATCAGTAGTCTTTGTTGCATTGTTACATATTCTACACTAAAACCAAAAAATCCGTGAGGACAATAGAACAGATAGAATACTAATTTGCTCTTCTACTCTGAATAAGAGTCAAAACCAAATCCAATCGAATCAATTCTAAGCAAAGCGACCACAGGCACGGTAGCCCAATGGTCGGGTGTATCCATGACGAGATTTCGCAAGAGGTCTCGCGTTCCTGATTTCGCAACAGGAAATGCACCATTCGTCAAATGTCGACCAAGCACATCACATTGTATTGCGAACGCACGTGCATATACTACAGACAATCATCCTCGCAAACTGACTAAGGATCTTGAAACCCATTAGGCTCTATTGAAGCACACCAATCAAGAACAGTTTTAACATTTAACAACGTCTCGAAGGGTGGTGGCAGCTCAACCAGCCATCCTCTCTCTACACGGCCTCTGTTCTTTTTTATTTTCTTTCTTTATTTTAATTTCTCTTAAATTATTAATGATAGTAAGATTACTTTTCATATAAAAAGATGTTATGGAGTGGCCCTGGCACCTCTCTCTCTCTCTCATAATAAATGTGAAGACATAAGATAATAAGAGATTGTAATCGTGAGTATCTTCATTTTATATCAATTGTAGCTCCATCAGTTGGATGTTATTTCTGGCAACAATCGTCGTGGGTTAGCTGATGGCCAACTAGCATTCTAAAAATTGAAATGAACCTTGTTAGCATGTGCCCCTACGAAACTAGTTAAATTATTTAAATAGTAGAAATAACATTTTTTTAAACTCTTTGACAATGAAAAATTCACGCGTTCTAATTAAGTTGCTTATTATAACAAGAAAATGGGGCGATTATCTTCATAACATTGTACGAATAAAGTTATAAACCGTACATGGCGGAATTTCCCAGTTATTTATGCCAGAGCTCCAAGTAATATACCTCAGCATCATTAGACAACATATAACCAGCAAGCAACAACCACAATCCAGCATGAGCGCAAAAACAAATTCGCATTGCATTTTTACATCCGCTAAAACACATATTCGCATTCACTCGCAAGAAGACATGATCCGGAGGAATTCACTATTAGAAAAAGATATGTACAGCAAATGGGATCTGCATTTCAATGTATTATTAGTCTACATGATCAGTCTATGCTTCAATGAACGCACCAGCGACCGTCGACAGAGTATTCACAATTCAGCACATCAACATTTTTAGCCAATTTCACGGAGTCGAGTTTATCACCTTAGAACACCGGAAGCCTATCAAGAGCGAGACACTTCGGGAATGGACTCAACAGTGAATATCAATTTAGATTAACTTAACCTATACAGCTGGTACAGGGAATCATTCAAGCAGACAAAGATGATGTCAGTCAGATTCGAAGACATATTTAACTTAACCTAATTTCACAGAGTCGAGTTTATCGTCTCAGGCATTTCACCAAACACTTAATGGCGCAATGCAGCAATGAGATAGTGAGGATCACAACCCAAATCAGCAGGAGATCATCAAGACTGAATCGCACTTATTAATATAATCTCAGGCGCGAACAATTTTCGCGCTAGCAACAACGAAGCTCTGGGTTTCTATTTTACATACGGAAATGGAATGATGTTCTGAACTTCCACGCTCAACGAAAATTGGAAAGTTCGAAGGCTCCAAGTTGTCGAAGGTTAAAGAAATTCTCCTACGTTCAATAAACTCGAGTTCATCGATGGAGTGCACAGATTCGAAGGTCAAGCACGAGAACATCGTGATTTGAAGAGCACGGATATGGCAAGGTAAGCGGTGGATTCCGGCGCCGATCAGCGGTGGAGAAGCTTCTGGAACACGTAGAGGATCGAGAGAGAGGCTTCGTGGTTCCAATTCCTGTGCGTAAGCGAATCAGTCTTGTAATGATTGAGCCACATAGTTACAAAACTGGATTCCCTCCCACTTCCCTTAACACGAATTAAAAATGCTACTTTGCAATAAAGTAGAGCAAAAAAATAATCATTTAATTTAATCTTTCTTTACATACTAGAGCAATATATCAACATCAACTTGCCTTAATTATTAAATTGGATGCAATCTTTTACATATCCAATGGATTGTAAGAGCTGAAGTTAGGAGTTAGGACCACAATTAAATTGGGAAGAAAGTGACAAACTAATAATAATAAGTTAAACATGTAAATAGTACGCGTGCATGTTAGACAAAACAACCTAATCAAGACCTATTTTCCTAATCATTTATTTAATTTTTTATTTTATCTTATATATATTTATTTTTCATTTTTCAGACCACCACGAAGTTCAATTTTTTTCCCTTTCTTTTTGAACCTTTTATTTATCTTACTCTCACGCCCAAACACAAATTCAAGTTAGTTGTCTAGGTGAATCAATTTCGTCTTCTTCCTTTTTCTTGCTCATGGCCAGGCTAACCTTCCTCAGGCACCAAACCCAATTCGTTCATACTCAGCGGAAATACATCATCAAACCTACTCATCGATCGTCTCCATTTTCCACTCTTACCCATTAAACCGGGTCCTTAACGAAGCTTCAATCGAACATAAACCAATCTAGCAACCAACAAGAAAATTTATGCAAGAGCTGCAAGTGATAACTCAGCATCATTAGATATCGTATAACCAGCAAGCAACAACCACAATCCGGTACGAACGCAAACACAAGTTCGCATCGCATATTACATCCGCTAAACACATATTCACATTCACTCGCAGAGAAGACATGGTCCAAAGGAATTCACTGTCAGAAAAGATATGTAAAGCAAATCAGTCTACGCTTCAATGGACGCACCAGCGACCATCGACGAGTATTTACAATTCAGCACATCAAGCATTTTCAGCTAATTTCACAAGAGTCAAGTTCATCGCCTCAGAACGCCGCAAGCCTATCTCGGTCAGATTCGTATTTATACTAATACGACTCAGGCATTTTAACAAACACTTAATGTGCATTCGCTTAAATGGCAGCATTGCAGCAATGAGACAGTGAGAATCACAACCCAATAAATCAGCACGAGATCATCAAGGCTGAATGAACAGTTATTAATATAATCTCAGACGAGGACAATTTTCGTGCTAGCAACAACAAAGAGCGATCGAATGATTTTCTGAACTTGCACGCTCAACGAAAACTGGAAAGGTTGAAGGCTCCAAGTTGTGGAAGGTTTGAATAAATTCTCCTTGGGTTCAATAAACTCGAGTTC